GTCCCTGCAGGTCCGGACTCTGCTCCTCTCAGGTCGTATTCAGATTCACTTCTGTCCTGTTTGTTTGTTTGTTTGTTGTGGATTTTATTTGACTGGACCACCTCAGACCTGTGTTCTGGCTCCAGTGCTGGACTCTTTGGCAGACTGGACTCAGATCGTTCGCAGAACTTCAACAGTTAAACATAAATCTCTCTAAAGATCTTCTGTTTTTCCATTTGTAACTGATTAAAAATAAACTGGATTTTATAGTTTAGTTCTGTTTTTACAGATACGTTTTGTGTCATCTTAGAATAAAACATTTTATTTGAAACCAGACGTTTATTTTTAACTGTCCATTTATCCGATTAATTTGACATTTTAAACAAAAGAGTTAAAATCTTTTTTTTAAATTTTTTTTATAATCATCGTTTTAACAGATTTTAATATAAACGTCAGGTCTTTTTGTGAAAAGAAAGTAAAAAAATAAAAAATCAGATCTGAGACAAGTGAGGCTCCCCCGCTGTTCCCGGATCAGCTCTGCAGAACACGGTCAGATCCAGCTGTCTTTTGTTTCCGAACACTTCAGTCCAGTTTTCGTTTTAATAATCAGCTGAAGCAACAAGCTGCTGGTGCTGCGTTCACGGTCTGCTTTCTTTCTGCGGAGTTTTGTGTGCTGACGGGATATGAAGTGTTTGTGGGGCGAAGATGATGATGGAGGCACAGAAAACAGGAAGTGTGTCGTTAAAACATGTAAAAATATGGAAATGAGCTGCACTTTGCGCACACAATCATTATAATGCAGATTTTCTGGCTTTATGGTTCCCGAGACGATCAAAAAATAAATTTTGTCAAACAAACTTCATTCTTCATTAAAGAGCTCAAGAGTTTTTGTTTTTAGGAAGAATAGATTTAAATAGGAAATAAGTGAAAATAAATCTATTTTTCTATGTTTCTAATGAAAGGACATTTCTGTCAGTTTACAGTGTGATGCATTCACTGAACCTCAGAAATAAGAACTTTTTGTTTGGTTGTTGATGGATTCTCATCAGAGGTTCAGATCAAAGAAGGAAATCATCACTCAGCCGTTTTTATCTGATCTGTGAGCTGACCAGGAAATGTGACTTCAGGTTTTCTAAATTCCATGTTGTTCCTGAATGCATCTTCAGTGACTCTACATGAAGTGGACCGGTTCAACATATGGACCAAAACCATCAGTCTGAACTGTGGACTGGGGAAATGTTTGGGAGTTAAACTGTGTGCTAGTCTGAGCTCACTGGTTCTGTTTGCTCTTTGAAGAACCTTCAACCCTCCTGCTGCCCTTGGGTCAAAGTGACCCATCAGGCCTCAGTATGAAAACAGGAGGTGAGCCATTTTGACCCAAGGGCAGCAGGAGGGTTTAAGAGAACCACCTGTAGGTTCAGGAGGGTGGAGCGAACACTTTAATGTTGGATTCCGTAGTTTGTGAGTCCTACAGGTATCACAGGTGAAGTGGGTCACAGGTGAGGACTGAAAGTAAGGAGAAAGGTCTAAAAATAGTCCCTGATAATCTGTCTGCAGGGCGCCGCTCACGTAACGTCTTCCTGCTAATCTGTTGTTGTTGTCGGAGCCAACGGTCCTGAAAACAGAGATCTGACACAGCAATCTGATATATGATATAGATCTGAGATCTGATATAGCAAGGCCCTTAACCCCCACCACCTGCTCCCTAAACAGGTCTCTCTTGAAAATGAATTCTCGTGGCTCAATGAGACTACCTGTATAAATAAAGGGTAAATAAAATAAAAAATACACACACACACCGGTTTGTCTTATTATCTTTATGAGGACTTTGCATGGACTTCCATTAATTTTTCATTAATTTCTATAGCCTAACCCTGACCCTTACCCTAAACCTAACAATTACCAGTACCTGTACATACCTAACTCTAAACTTAACACATCCTCCATTCACACCTTAGTCCTAACCCCTAACCCACCAACGACACTTGTACTTATGAGGACCGGGCTTTGGTCCCCACAAGGAGCAGTTGGTCCTCACAGTGTACTATGTATTGGAACAAAGGACCTTACAAAGTAACATAAACAAACAAACACACACACACATTCCTGAGATCATTCTGGGACATGTATGCAGATGTTGAGACGTCAGAACAGAAAGTAAACAACTTGATGTTCGGAGAGAAAAGTTGCCTCATAAATGAGGTTCAACTGGAAGGTTTCAGGCTTGGTGAGAAGATCTTTGGAGTCATCGAGGACCTTTGGAGTCATCGAAGACCTTTGGAGTCATCGAGGACCTTTGGAGTCATCGAAGACCTTTGGAGTCATCGAAGACCTTTAGAGTCATCGAGAACCTTATGGAGTCATCGAGGACCTTTTGGAGTCATCGAGGACCTTTGGAGTCATCGAGGGCCTTTGGAGTCATCGAGGGCCTTTGGAGTCATCGAGGGCCTTTGGAGTCATCGAGGGCCTTTGGAATCGAGCAGAAGACCTTCCCTTGGTAAAACGACTTTCTATTGTTTGGTTCCAATAAGGATGAAGACCTTGGGGCCCCTGAGTTCAAGTTTGTTAAAGGCCCCTGACTTAGTGAAACAGAACCAGAACAGGTCCAGTTCTGAGGTGTTGTATCAACTTTTGATTCTGAGATCATTTAGCTTGTTGTTGTTTTTGTTATTGTTTTCCACGTGTCTCTGGTTCCTCTCTCTCGTCGTGGACCCTTCCTGTTTCAGCATGAGTCTGGTTGTATTGTTGTGGCACACCTGAGGGGTTCACCTGTCGGTTCAGTTGAGTTTGTTGATGCTAGCCGGCGGTGGTGGATCAGCTGAGGTTTCGTAATGATCGGTTGTCTGATGGGATGTTCTGGACCTAGAAGGCAGCAGGTCTTCGTGTTGATGACGGCTTCCTGCTCCCCTCCTGATTGATAATTCATGCTGCTCTCTTGTGCCGGCAGGTCAAACGAGGATCCGATGTCTCAGAAACATGAGAAGAACTTCATTTAGTCCCAGCAAAACAAGCTGTGAGAGTTTTAACCAGTATAACAGTTCCAGTCCAATAAATAAATAATGACTTCAGACATCATCTGAGTTCAGAACAAACACAAACACTTCTGGAGCTCAATTTTAATATTGATCATAAAAACATTCAGATTCCTGGGTGTGTAGTCCCTGCAGCCTTGGTCTCAGCTCAGATTAGCACACATCAAATGAACAACTGGTTCCAGTCCATCTCTGTTAAGAAATTTTGCGTCATGAGTTCTTGTGTTGAACCGATCCTGGTTGGTAAAACAGACCCCTGACCCTCACAGCTGTTAATCTTCAAAATTACATAAAATTATTTTTACAAACAAGTTTGACTTTCTTGATCCACACAGGTTCATATATATACATACACCCACTGATGTTTGGTTAGACATCCCTCAACAGGTGTCTCCTGGACCTCCAAGCTTTTTGACTCCATCAACAAGGTTCTGGTTTTCTTGTTCTTGTCATTGTTCTTGTTGTTCTTGTTGTCGTCCTCCTCCTCTTCGGTAGAATTGGTAGAGTTCAGTGAAATGGTTGGTTTCTTGGTTCAGACCCGGTTTTTAGTCCACAGTTTGAGGTTTTTGGAAGACCGTTCCAGAAGGTTTACGTTAGGCTGATCCATCCAATCAGGAACCAGTTCTGATGTTTGGGATCTTTGTCCCGTTGGACCCAACTGTCCAAGTTTCAACCATCCAGCAGTTAATTTGAGGTGAAGTTGAAGAATTTGGAGGTAGTCCTCTTTCTTTGTGACCACAGCATGATGCTTCCACCACCATGCCTGGCAGCTGTTCTTCAGTTTGAAAGCTCCACTTTAATTCCTCCAAACTTCCTTCTCGTCCAGTTTTTTTGTCTCATCTTACCATCGAACTCCTCTCCAGAAGACATTTGTCTTGTCCATATGGACAGTTGAAGGTTTCAGTCCACCTTGAAGGATTTGGAGCTTCTTTTTTGGTCTTCTTAGATATAAAACTGTCTTCTCTGTGTATGTGGATTGTGGTGTTCCAGCAGGTCCCAGTTCATAGCAGACTTGAGCCTTGGTGGTTCCTTAACATCCAGACCCACTCTTTTCCATCTGAGGGGGACAGATTAGTTTTATTCAAGCCAATGAGAAACTACCAGCTGCAGTCAATCATGATCACTAACAGGAAGTCAGCTAAACGTACGGATATATCTGAGCCTGTATGTATATTTGTGAACCGGATCCGGGTGATTAGAACCTCTGTTCACGATCAACTCAATGGACTTGCAGAACCTGATCGTCGGATCTGCTCAAATTAACAGCCTTAAACTGATTAGAAGTCTGTGAGTCTGTGGTGGTCCAGAAGTTCTGCTGGTGTGTCTTGGTGGCAATGAAGTGCAGAACTGTGCAAAAGTTTTAGACGTTACTTTTCAGAAATGAAATCAGAATTACTGAAATGGAACTTCTTTCAGAACCTCACTTTGTAAATTTAGAAGTTTTAGGTTAATTTGAACAAATATCCTCCAACTGCAACTCTGAGTCTGTAAAATCCAGACCTGTTACCAGACCATCAGGGGCAGGATCAGGATTCTGGTGGATATTAAGTTCTGAGGGTCTGATTCCTCAAAACTTTCCCCTTTTCTCACTTCCTTCTGTGAGGACAACTGGATTAAAACACATCTTATGGAGATGGAACACAGATCCAACTACTTAGATTTAAATATTTCTCTTTCTTTTGAATTATTCTCTTTTAGTGACTGCCGTGTAAACTTTCTATTATCTCAGACTCCGAGTCTTTCATCCTTTAGGTCCAGAATCCCACAGCAGTCCCATCAGGGACTCATTAAAAAGAGTTGCAAAGTCCTGCAGAGTCCAGACCTTCAGGAAACCAGCTGATCAATCTGCTCTGAAACTTTTGCACAGTTCTGTAAAATTTGTTTTGTTCTTTGTGTTAAAATCGGCTCCTGGGGCTCCTGGCTAACTGCTTTCTGCTCCTACAGCCACGGAGGAGTCTTTTGGAGGTCCGATCCATTCCTGCGTCCAACATGGACACGTTTTTCCGTCGCCGCTTTAAGAGGAAGGATGTCCCTCAGCAGGTGGAGGTGGAGACCCCTGCGTGCCGCCAGAGGAGGCCCAGCGTGGCCATCCCAACCAGCAAGGCCCGTAGGAGGTCCAGTGTTGGCCTGCCTTCCTCTGCCCTGACCCAGAGGCGCCGCTCCGGCATTCAGCTGCAGCTGGGGCCCCCAAGTGCAGGCGGGGGCCGGTTGGCGCATGTGCCCCACCATGGCAGGACAGGCCACACCCGCAGGCGTTCCAGCACCACCACCCCCAGCCTTAACCCGAAGTTTGCCGTGTGCCGTAGGAAGGTGGGGAAGCTGCGCACCATCGACACCCACCTGCTGGGGTCGTCCATGCTGCTCGCCAGCCTCATCCAGATGGCTGAGGAAGAGGAAGATGGGGGCGTGCTGGGGGCGGGGCTATCAGCCGGAGAGCAGCAGGTGGAGCTCAGGGGTGGGGCCAACAATGGGAGGACGATCTCAAACTCCAGCAGCCTCCACTCTGACAGAGATGATGACAGCAGTGAGTGCTCCACCAGCAGCCAGTCAGAAGGCAGCCAGCTGTCTGAGGCAGAGCAACTGCCCGAGGAGGAAGAGGAGGATGAAGCCTCCTGGCCTCCTGCATCTCATGCCTCCACCCCCTCCTCCATCTCCTCACTGCAGGTTCTGAGGAAGCCCCCTGAGGTGCTACCCACCTCAAGGCCCCTGATCCGGGCCCCTCGCTGCCTTCGCAGGAACTCTTCTCAGGTGTTTGTAGGAGACTCCAGTCCCTTCAGCTATCGAGCCTCCACCCAGAGGAAGAGGAGAAGGATCTCCACTATCTCCAAAGCCGGGAGCCCCTGGCCCGGGAGGGGCCACCCACTGCCCAGCCGCAAGAGCTCCGTGTACTACCTCCACCATCCGGCCTTCTACAGGGGTCCCGGAGCTCTCAGCCCACTGGGGAGCTCCTGCTACGACTCCCGCCTGGAAAGCTTAAGTGCCTTTTTGCTGTATGTGGCCATGAGCAGTCTGAGTCCTGATTCTGTTCCCTGTGACCCACTTCTTTGTGTCTGAAGGTGATATTCAACTGGTCTGTTCTGAGTCTACAGGTTTATAAAATGTCAAACAGTCTGCAGGTCAGAAAACGTCTGAAAATTCATAATATAATATAAAGGCTCTGCCCCTGAAAACTGGTTAGGTCTGCTCTCTGATTGGTTAGCTCCAAGGCTCTGATCAGGCTCCGCCCACAAATCCAGGTTTCCTCTTTAGATTTAGAAAATAAACTTTTGACTGGATTAGAATTTTCAACAGTTTTCCTCTTTTTACAATTTTTTTCAAACTATCGTGTGACTTTGAACAGATGAAAACTTTTTTAACCGGATGCAAACTGAAACGTTTCGTTCTGAACGCTAACAAAAGTATTTTATTCAGTCAGAACACCTCAGACGGGAACCAGAACTTGGTTAAAAACCTGAATCATGTTACAGCCGTGTGAATTTGAACCTGACTGGACCTTAATATTAGTCAAAACAGTCATATCATCTCATTGAACTGAATGTTTTTATTTTTTTTTTATTTTAGAGTAAATTAAAGATGAAAACAAATTAAATAAAATATGTTTAAGGGGTTTTTGGTCCTGTTGTGTTTGCAGGAAAGCCATTGCCAAGTCGGGTCAGCAAGTTCAGGCCAACGTGTCGACGTCCAGACAGACGGACTCTCTGCCGCCCAGCAGCACCGTCGACTGGACCGTGAGTAACGTCGTCATTTCATCACAAACACCAGAGGAGCTAATGGGCGGAAATGGCTTTTGTTGAAAAAAGTATCTAATAAATATTTAATCAGTTTCAAACAAAAAAACTGAAACGTGGAGCTCAATAAAACTAAAGGCCTTTAAAGAGTTAAACATTTTAAAGTAATTTATATTTGATATATTTTTATTTCAGGCTGAGACAGCTCTGAAAGACCGATTAGCTTTTTGTGATTTTTTTTATTTTTATTTTTTTAAGTTAATATTTATAAGCAGTTATGTAAAGGTAGTGGTGATCTGTCATGAAGCTAAAGAACCATCTGAGGGTCGACGTCTTCTGATCTGGTCACCATGAGGAGTTCTAATGATGGTTTCTGCTCACATTAACATCTGAACCCTCCTTCGGTCGAACGATCACAGACTCGACTGGTCTGGGTCGGTTTCAGGCAGAACTGTTGTTGTTCTGTGTTGCAGGAGAACGCTCAGTACGGCGAGCACATCTGGTTCGAGGCCAGTGTTTCTGGAGACTTCTGTTACGTTGGAGAGCAGTATTGTGTCGCCAAATCTCTGGTGAGTTCTCCTTCAGCTCTGCTTGTTGGTTCTGCTCGACCCGGATGATTAAATAAAAGAATAAACAAATGGAGAAGATGTCTTTATTTAAACCAGCTCTTCCTGTTCCGTGTTAAAGTAAATCTGTTGTTTTCTGCAGCAAAAGTCTGTGGCGAGGATGAAATGTGCCGGATGTAAGATATCTGTGCACGTCACGTGCATGGAGCAGCTGGAGAAGGTAAATCGGCTCCAGATGAACTCTGATGTTCCTGCTGCTCGCCTCACAGCTTCTCCTCTCTCTTCAGATCAACTTCAGGTGCAAACCATCGTTCAAGGAACCGGCTTCTCGAGCCATCCGAGAGGTCAGCGTGCACGGCAGCATCTGAAATAATTCAGCCTCAGGCTCATGTCAGGTGATTTAGCTTAAAATAATAAAAATAAAAACCTCTTTGTTTTTCAGACCAATGTGGTTCGGCATCACTGGGTCCACAGGAGGCGTCAGGCTGGGAAGTGTCGGCAGTGTGGGAAGGTGGGTCTGAGTCCTGATCTCTAGTTTAATTAGAAAACCTCTGCCAGGATGTTGGAGGGAGTCCGTGCTTTTGAAAGTCCTTCTGCTGCAAAGCTGAGAATTAGATTGACGGGCAGGTAGACCTAGATAGATGGTAGACTGTAGATAGAGTAGATGTATTCATTCTTCTACCTCAGATGATTTGGTACCAAAAGTGAGAGCTCACGGTTTCTGATTGAGCCGCATGTCTTCATGTTTTTTTGTGTTATTTTCCAAAGCTGTGGGAGGAGCAGTGAACTGAAGGTTCTGATGAAAACAGAAGAATAATGGGTGAATCATAATAAAGTACTTAAATGCTCTGAATTGGCACCATTACCAATGTTCTCTGTTAAAACATAAAACATTTCATCTCAAACCTTCATAATTCCACAAACCTGGCTGGTAGTTTTCCTGATAGGAGTTTAAAGTGTCTGTGACATACAATTTTCAAAATAAATATGAACGCATTTTTGGAATGACAAAATGTCTTTGGTGGGTGGGGGGGTGGGGGGAGACCACACAGCTGAGATGAACATTTACTGGGAGATTCCAATGCCCAGTAACAGGAAGTGATGTCATTAACAGGAAGTGATATCAAAGGGGAACACATGCATTGAAACATTTACTAACAACACAGACAACAGTTATCACAACAGTTATGTAATAAAATGGGTAAAATTGTGTATTATGCTAAATTTTGCTTAAGATCTTTTGTTTCCTTGTATTTGTAGGAAATGCATGTCACAGGAGCTTTAAGTTCCTGTTGGTTCTGCTGAGTTTCAAGAGTTTTCCTTCAGTTTGTACTGATTTTTATTTATTTATTTAATTTTTAAACAGGAAAAGATTAAAAGAAATCGGGCCTGGCTCGGCATAATTTCTGTTTTACAGCAGGTTCTTGTTCTGCAGAACATAAAAAACCCACAGATATCCAGCATCACATCACATTAATAGACACACAGACATACCACATTACAAAATACAAGAACAGCAGCATTTACACGGCAGACAACTAACGGTGATTGCAAAAGATGTCCAACAGATGACACGCGTGATTCATCATTTATATTTAAAATAATACAAGTAGCAGCCAAAAACGGAGAATATAGCAGCCAAAAACAAAGAATAAAGGCTGTAATTTTTTTTAACAAAAGTCTGTCGGTTCCAACAAGTTAACAGTTGTTGTTTTTGAATTAATGTTCTTTGATCACCAGTTTTTTCCTGTGACAGTATGGTCCCCTGACAGTTTGGTCCCCTGACAGTTTGGTCCCCTGACAGTTTGGTCCAGTGACAGTTTGGTCCTGTGACAGTTTGGTCCAGTGACAGTTTGGTCCAGTACCCATTTTGTTCAGTAGCCGTCTGGTCCTGTGACAGTTTGGTCCCCTGACAGTTTGGTCCAGTGACAGTTTGGTCCTGTGACAGTTTGGTCCTGTGACAGTTTGGTCCAGTACCCATTTGGTTCAGTAGCCGTCTGGTCCTGTGACAGTTTGGTCTTGTGACAGTTTGGTCCTGTGACAGTTTGTTCCTGTGACAGTTTGGTCCAGTACCCATTTGGTTCAGTAGCCGTCTGGTCCTGTGACAGTTTGGTCCCCTGACAGTTTGGTCCTGTGACAGTTTGGTTGTGTAATCGTTTGGTCCTGTAACAGTTTGGTCCAGTGATAGTTTGGTCCCCTGACAGTTTGGTCCTGTGACAGTTTGGTCGTGTAACCATTTGGTCTAGTAACAGTTTGGTCCAGTGATAGTTTGGTCCTGTGGCAGTTTGGTCCTGTGACAGTTTGGTCCAGTAGCCATCTGGTCCTGTGACAGTTTGATCCAGTGAGAGTTTGGTCCAGTGATAGTTTGGTCCTGTAAGTGGACGTTTAACTGAATGTTTTCTGCTTCTGATGTTAACCAACAGGGCTTCCAGCAGAAGTTTACGTTTCACAGCAAAGAGATCGTTGCCATCAGCTGCTCGTGGTGCAAACAGGCGGTGAGTTTATGTGATTCGTCTTTGTCTTCTTGTGTTTGTCTGTCTGTTAGCAAAATATCTCATGAATCACTGAGCAAGTTTCACATCTACAAATGATTACATTTTGAAGCCTCAAGATGTCCACCACATTTAATCAACCCTAAAATATTGTCTGTAAGTCAATCAGTTTCACAGATATTGAGCTAATCTTTGGTGTGGTAGTAGCTGAGAGTCATCCCCTTCAAATGCTTAAAGATCTCATGAGAAGGATCTCATCTCTTTGACCTTTGTAAAACGTTGCTGCTTCTGAACATCAACTTTGGAATTTCTTGTCCTTTCAAAATAAAACCTCTCCGAGGCTCTCCATCTTTAAATCGGTTTTCTAGACTTGTTTAAAAAAAAAAACAGACTGACTCAAAATATCTTTGTGTTTTCATTTTTATTGACATTCGTTTTTAATCGTTCTGTGCTGTGATTTGTGTTTCAGTACCACAACAAGGTGGCGTGTTTCATGCTGCAGCAGATAGAAGAGTGTTGCTCTCTGGGAGCTCACGCCGCTGTCATCGTCCCCCCAACGTGGATCATCAGAGTCCGCCGGTCGCAGGTACGAACATCTTTTTTTTTTTTTCCTCAGGCAGGAAAAAAAAAAGTCTGATAGGAATATTTTCACCTCCAACTCCTACATGTGTCCAGTTTCCACCAGTTTCCACTGTTTTTGTCTGTCCAAACAGGTCTCTCTTGTAAATGAGTCTTTGAGGCTCAATGTGATTTATTTGTTTAAATAAAGGTTGAATGAATTGAATGAATGAGTCCGATTCTGGGAAGGATCCAAACAGATCCGTTTTTTATGGAAACACCCAACATGTTTGAGTGGATTCCACCTCAGAGTTTTTAAAACCGATTCCACCTGAGATTAAAACCCACATTCACCTTAGAAAAGTATCAGCTCCAGCAGCAAACCTATAAACAACTAACTATTCATTAAATATTCTCATCAGGATCTGGCTGCTCGGAAGAAATTTATGCAGAAACTAGGAGTGGATTAAGACTTTTACACAATAATAGCCTTCACGGTTTCAGTTTTAGTAACACTGATGTCACCCTAATCTCCATCTTCACGACTTATCCTTCAGTCTTTGTTTCTTTCTCCTGATTACGGGTCACCTCCTCCCAGGGAAGAAATGAGCAGAAAGTTTGTTCTGTCTCGTTTGTGCAGACGTCTCTGAAGTCGAGCAAAAAGAAGAAACGGACGTCGCTGAAGTGCAACAGGTCGAGCAAAAAGGGAGGAGAGGTGAGGAAGTAAACAAATATTGGTATTTAAACAAGAAAGTTAAGTGTTTGGGTCCAAAGTTTAAATAAAAATGTTGTACAAAATAAATTATAGTTTATATCTAGATATAGTATGGTAATGTAAAAACAATATACATTACTTTCTTAGTAAACAAACAAATAAATCTGAATGTTTCATCCCCACAGTCACCTCAGCCCAGACTGAAGCAGTGTTTAGAAATATCTACGTAGATACAAATTGTATTTATTTTAAAAGTTTTACATTCTGACATCAAAATTCTGATTTACAATTTCCTACAGCACATGAACTCAACTCCACACCCTCATAAAAATATATGAAATCATTGTGTTTGACAGAAAAAAAAAACGTTCATTTGAGCTGTTCCTGAAGGTTTTAGATGGTTGGTTGAACAGATGGACCTTCAGGTATCTGAGTGTCACTCTGTTGGACACTTTTCTGCTGACTTCCTGTAGTTTCTGTTGTCATGCAGCTCCAAGATGGCCGCTGGAAGCCCTTCCTGATTAAGCCCCTCCCCTCGCAGCTCATGAAGCCCTTGCTGGTATTCGTTAACCCCAAGAGCGGCGGGAACCAGGTAGTTTTCTAAAGGTTGAATACATTTGTAGAGTTAGGATGAAAAATAACTGAAGCGCTTTACTGTTGATGAGCTAGACCTAACCCAGAGGACACTAGACCTAACCCAGAGGACACTAGACCTAACCCAGAGGACACTAGACCTAACCCAGAGGACACTAAACCTAACCCAGAGGACACTAAACCTAACCCAGAGGACACTAGACCTAACCCAGAGGACACTAGACCTAACCCGGAGGACCCTAGACCTAACTCTGATGACTCTAGACCTAACTCTGATGACTCTAGACCTAACCCAGAGGACCCTAGACCTAACCCAGAGGACCCTAGACCTAACCCGGAGGACCCTAGACCTAACCCGGAGGACCCTAGACCTAACCCAGAGGATCCTAGACCTAACTCTAATGACTCTAGACTTAACTCTGATGACTCTAGACCTAACTCTGATGACTCTAGACCTAACCCAGAGGATCCTAGACCTAACCGCCCCCTAAAATTGGGGATGAAAATGTTCTAATTGCTTCTGTTTTTGAAGAACTTTTCAAATGGTCCCAACAGGTTTTAGGTTTAGTCTTTTCTGACTTTTTCTTCTCTTCAGGGAGCAAAAATCATCCAGTCCTTCATGTGGTACCTGAACCCTCGGCAGGTGTTCGACTTGACCAAAGGAGGACCCAGAGAGGGGTAAAGACCTGCTGAAATCTCCCACATCCCCCTTTACCCCTGTAGAAGACATCTAAAAGAGAGGACAACCTAACATGATGTCCATCCAAACTCAGAACATGTCTCACTTAAGTTTGGGTTTAAGGATTACTGAGTCAACTGGACTGGGTTAGCTGGACTGGGTCAGCTGTGCAGAGGTGACTCTGTGCCTCAAGGACCTTGGACACATCAGTTTTGTTCCCTATGCTGATCCTAATTTGTCCAGGTCCTCTGGTCCAGGTTCAGTTCGGTGTTCCTGGTTCAGTTCTGAGAGTTCTGCTTTGTGTCCTGCAGGTTGGAGCTGTACTCCAAAGTGCCCAACCTGAGGATCCTAGCGTGCGGCGGTGACGGCACGGTTAGTCCAGCATCAAACATGCTTCAGAACCACACATCTGGGTTTGCCTTTTCCTGTTTTGTGTTTGTAACTTCTGGGCCCTGAATCCGTTGCCATGGTAACTGATGCTGGACTTGGCTCTGGACCCAGTTCGAGGTCTGGATTAGAGAACAGTTTAACATGTCTGTCTCTGTCTCCAGGTGGGCTGGATTCTGTCCATGTTGGACCAGTTGAACCTCCGCCCCCAGCCTCCCGTGGCCATCCTTCCTCTGGGGACGGGTAACGATCTGGCCAGGACCCTTAACTGGGGCGGGGTGAGTTCTGTTGGTAAAACTGGACCTGCTGGGAGACGTTAGTCCCGTCCCTGTGTGAAAACTGACCTCACACGTTCTGAGACCACAGCTGAGACGGTTTTGGTAAAAACAAACAAACAAAAAAAATAACAGAACCCAAAATGCTCATGTTCTTCAAGAAACCAGAACAAAAACATTAAGTCTTATAAAAAATTATTTAATCAAATTTTACAGATAAAAAAGAGAAATATTAAGAACATATCTAAATTAATAAACATATGCTTTTATATTTCTATGAGCCTTTCATTTGATTTTAACATTATTTATATAACAATAGTAATATTAATATTATTTCCTACAGTTTGTTTCACAGCCTTTTTGTTTTTGTTAAAAGAAAATTAAAACTTTACATTATAGGCATAAATGTCTAAAAAATTGAGTAGTATTTTTTAAATGTATTTAATTTATTCATGTTGTCCTGACTTGATAAAAAAAACATTTTCTATTACTAAATTATTTCATTATTCAATTACTAAACTCATTAAAAACATGAAAAGCAAAAGTCAGATATTAAAATGTTTGTAGTTCCTGTTTGGTTTAACCCTCCAGCTGCCGTTGGGTCAAATCAAAAAAAGAAGCCTGTTTGAAAACAAAGTCCTCGGGTCATTTTGACCCATGGGCAACAGGAGGGTTTAAATGACTTAAAGCAGTTTTCCTGCCTGAATGAAGGTTTCAGAGGAGTTTTTGGGGTGTTTGTGTCTCAGGGGTACACTGATGAACCCATCACAAAGATCCTGTCCCACGTGGAGGACGGGAACATCGTCCAGCTGGATCGGTGGAACCTGAGCGTGGAAGCCAATCCGGAGGTTCGACCCGACGAGCGGGATGAGCATCAGACAGATAAGGTCCATTTCTCTTTCTTTTAGTAAGAAATGAAACCATACTTTTTAGTTTTAAAATATTTATTTAGTTTCTTTTCTTTCTCAGCTTCCTATTGACGTTTTCAACAACTACTTCAGTCTGGGCTTCGACGCTCACGTCACGCTGGGCTTCCATGAATCCAGAGGTCGGTCTGCTCGCATGAACTCCCAGATTTAAATCTATGAAGATAAATCCATCTCAAAAGTAGTCACACTTGCACAACAACATTTGTGCTTGTATAGTAATATCCACAAATGCATCATCAGTTTCTCATTTGTACACCTTTCAGTTTGCACAAGTAGTATTCTGCCCGTACATGTTGTCGAAGGATGACCAAGGACGAATCCAAAGAGTCCTAAAATGAGACAGAAAGTTTATTCAGCTGGGCCACTCTGAAAAGTTCATGGAATTCCTTGGTAGGAGGGGAGACAGGGGCAGAGCTTCAGGTTTACAAAACTTTCAGGCGAACTGAGATAAGGTGACCTGTCAAGGCCAGTCAGGGAGCCAAATTCAGATAAACACGATTGTTTTGGGGACAGGCAGAACTTTAATTACATCTACCTCGAGTCTTTGTCAGTTCGCTTGGTTCAGAAGCATCCAAATTAAATGGCCACACCAATGGCCTGAGAATAATCCCCGAGATCTGATCCATCCTACCAAAAGCATTTGAGTCTGGGTGCTCGAGGCACGAACCAAGCCATCATAAAGGTAAGCAGCCTGATCGAGTCCAAATTTGCTGCCGACGACTTCCTTGATTGTAGATAAACCAGCAACCAGCCAAATCCAAAAAGCAGGAAACCAGTTATCATAAATCCAAGTATATATGCGTCCTTAAAATCCATGAATGACTGCAGAGATGGACACATCATCAAGTTGTCCAAGTCTTCCAAGTCTATGAAATATCCAGCTGCGTACATGCCAACGGGGCCAATCGGCTCGCCCAAAGCCTGCCTTCTCTTCAAAGAAATGTTATCAATTGTGTTGAGGGACCAACTGCCCAAATCCATATCCATAAATTATGATTCGGAAGATTTGTAGAAGAGAGGCTCTAAGCAGTTTCACAGACAAGACTGAGCAAAAGCAAGAGAAGGAGAGGAGGAGAAGGCGTCCGCCCTCGGCAAGAGCAATTGTTGAAGACATCTTTATTAAAACACGTACTCTTACATTAACGTTACTGGACCCCAAAATGTTAATTAAAGGAACTGTTTGGTAAAAATAAACAATCTAAAATAAGCAGGTTATTATTTTTGTGGACTACTTTTCAGTGAAAAAAAAGATTAATATTACTTGAAAAAAATATATATATTTCTAGTAGGTTGTCGGAGTCAGAGATTCTTTATTGTCATTCGCACCTCATGTGGTACATGTGGTGGAGCAAAATTATGTACACAGGGTCCCAGTTACATCCAACAATAAAATGTATAAGAAAAACAGTAATAACATCTAAGATATGAACTAAGAAAAACATCAACTAAATAAACACTAAGCACTAATAGCATATAAACATTGAACATCAGCACAAACATGAACATGAGTCTGTGTGAGCGGATGTGCACGCATGAACACATCAACATTGAAACAGATCAGCAGCAACATGAAACAGATCAGCAGCAAACATGATGTGATTTTTCACAGTGATTATTCTAGTTAGAGATACATGAGTCTAACAGCCTCAGGGTAGAAGCTGTTCCTCTGTCTAGTGGTTCTACACTTAATGCTCCTCAACTTCCTTCCTGAGGGGAGTGGGGCAAAAATGTGTGTGCTGGGTGAGTGAGGTCCTTCATGATGCATGTAGCCCTCTTCCTGCATCTAGAGGTGTAGATGTCTGTGATGGTGAGGAGACTGACTCTAACAGTCTTCTGTGCAGCCTTCACCACTCTGCAAAGCTTTTCTTTTCCACAAGAAGAATAACCTAACCACTTTTGATGTTAATTTCACTTCCACAAGTCCACAAAATTAACATTTTCTTCTTGTGGAAAAATACATTATCCGGTATTTCTAGCAGAGGAAGAAGATACTGTCAAATATATTTTGAGTGTATGCATGCATGTGTTTTAATGTACAGGTTATGAGCTATGGTGACGAGTTAGAAATTAGTCTTTTTCCAGTAACTCAGTAAATCTGATAGAACTCAGATGTCCTAGCTTTTCACCAGCTTTGAACGCAGCATCACCTTTGTGAATCTGGAGCGGTAAGAAAGTCTCAAAAATCACATTTACAGACAAGCTGATCCATGTGCTCGTGTCGACTGATTCGTCCGCAGCAGGTGGTTTGTGCACATGTATTTGACAATGTATGCGCAGAATATTTCTACTGAAATGTGTACATTTGAAAAACGATGCATTTGTGAGTCTTATAGTTGGCATTTGTAAAACTTTCTGTACGCTTGTGGATCTGATTGTACGAGTACAAATCCCACTGTACGCTTGTGTGACTACTTTTGAGACGGATTTATATTTATATAAATCAACTCTCTTCTGGTTGTGGAGGAGTTTTGGCCCTCTCTTCTTTCCATCGTTGCAACAGTTGGTTGAGGTTTCTACTCAGATCTCTGAAGGTCCCACTACAGTGTTTCAGTCAGGTTCAGGTTCTGGACCATAGAGATGTGTTGTAAATAGAAACATGATCAGAAGTTGGAAGTTGAAGCCACAAAGGACCAGAGCCCCCTAGTGGCCGGTTCCTGTACATTTTTAGCCCTGCCCCTTCATGTAAACAAATAGGAGATTTTTCTGACATCCACTCCTAGAAACCTGAGTATCATCTGCGGAGCTGTGGAGGTTAATCCTGTTGATTGATAGTACTGCTAGGTAGAACCGTATAAAACCATATTGATCCAAACAGAACCTTGTGGAAACTCCTGAACAATGTGTTGTTGCAAGACTTGTTGACCCTATGGCCTTCTAGAGACCAGTTCCAAACAAAAATGAAGGTTTTGCTTCTGTGGTTTTGTGTTTTCAGAGGCCAATCCAGAGAAATTCAACAGTCGCTTCAGGAATAAGATGTTCTACGCCGGGGTGAGTCCGGTTCTTGCTGTGCTCTGACGGTCCATCAGTACCAGACCACGCTGCTAACATCAGTGCATGTTTACGTTTCAGACGGCCTTCTCTGACTTCCTGAGCGGGAGCTCCAAAGACTTGGCCAAACACATCAGAGTGGTGGTGAGTCTGACGAAGGAAAAAACTTCTGGAAGCAAAATGTCTTCCATCACCTTCATCGTGTTCCTCTCCGAGCGTCAGAGGAACGGTTCAGTCAGAAATCAGGAGAACATCTTGTAGAGGTTGTGTCTGTGAGGCTGAGCTGAGGTTTCGTCTCTGAGGTTCAGTCAGCAGGTCAGAGCGACGCTTTATTCCCACCTAAACAAACTGGTTATTCAGAGGCAATCAAAGCTGTTGAACAGAACCTTTTGTCAGAACCTCAGCTGGGCCTGACGCTGCAGAGACGGAGAACAAAGCTCCGCTTTTAATTCACAAAACCAACAGGCGGCTTTTTATTCCAGCCTCTTCAGAACGAGCTGCCTCTAACCTGCAGGACGAATGATCCACAACCATCCAGAGGAAAGATAAACAACAAAAACATTCAGATTTACCAAACTTTTATTATTTTTATGCAGAATAAATTCTGGTTTGTTCCCAGTTTTACAGCAACGGGTTAAAAAAAAAAGCAAAATCATGTTTATAATTAAACATTAAAAATCTTTATAATTATCATGTTTATTAACGGGCAGCACAGTGGTGCAACTGGTCGAGCTGCTGCCTCTCAGCAAGCAGGTCTCTGGTTCAAATCCCGGTCCGGTGACCTTTCTGGGTGGAGTTTGCATGTTCTCTCCGTGCATGCGTGGGTTTTCTCCGGCAGCTCCGGTTTCCTCCCACAGACCAAAAAACATGCATGTTAGGCTGATTGGTAACTCTAAATTGCCCCTAGGTGTGAGTGAGAGAGTGAATGGTTGTTTGTCTCTATGTGTCCCTGTGATGGACTGGAGACCTGTCCAGGGTGTACCCCGCTCCTCGCACAGTGACTGCTGGACATGGGCACCTGCGACCCCATGACCCAAAAATGGAAGTAGCAGGTAAAAGATAATGGATGGCTGGATGGATGGATGTTTATTAACATTAAAATTTGTTTATTAACATGAATATCTGCTGATTAGCTTTTTAAAGTAATATCTGACACGTGAAATAAATATATTAAAGAAAATTTGTTTCTAAAATCAGACCCCAGATCTTCAACAAAATACTGTTTTTTTCTTTTTGTTTTCAGGAAAACTAAGCATTACTCTGATTACTCTGCTTTCTGTAACCCCGAGTACTCTGATTACTTGATGTATCCTGTAACCCACCCTGTTTGTGTTTTCCTGCTCCTCAGTGTGATGGCACAGATCTCACAGCCAAAGTCCAGGAGATGAAGCTGCAGTGCCTCCTCTTCCTCAACATCCCCAGGTAAGCTTCAGAAACATTATTAAAGTAAAAAAAAAAACTTCACTGGAAGTAAAACACCAGGATTCAAATACTTTTTTAGTAAAATGTTTGTACTTTACCTTTAAATGCACCTTCTGTTGCACTTTGAAATGGGGAAAACATTTTGTGCCTCTTGTCAAACCAGCATGACTTTTCTTTGCTTCTAAATAAATCTGAATCTTGTTTCCTGTTTCCTCTGGTCTAGGTACTGCGCCGGCACCACGCCGTGGGGGAACCCCAGTGAGCATCAAGACTTCGAGCCTCAGCGTCATGACGACGGCTGCATCGAGGTGATCGGCTTCACCTTGACTTCTCTGGTGAGTTTCCAGCTCATCCAGTCCACATCAGAACCTCATCAGATCCAGTCAGAACACACGAGACCAAGTTAAATCACACTGCATCCAGTCAGTCCACATCAGGTCACATAAAAACCACTTCGGGTTCAGTCACAACACAATCCACCAAGATGGACCGTATCGGATCCAGTCAGAACTCAGGAGACCAAATAAACCACATTTGATTCACATGAAACACTTCTGACCCATCAGAACACATTAGAACGTATCGGACTGACAGACTGAACGATGTGCAATACATCGCTGATTAAACCAACTTAACTGACACCTGCAGTAAGCCCCGCCCTCAGCGCAGGTGTTAACGGCTTTAGCTGATGCTACCTGTGGTTTGTGTACAGGCCACGCTGCAGGTCGGCGGTCATGGCGAGCGTCTCCATCAGTGTAAGGAAGTGACCCTCACCACCACCAAGTCAATCCCCATGCAGGTGGATGGCGAACCCTGCAAGCTGGCGCCATCCATCATCCGCATCAACCTGCGGAACCAGGCTAACATGGTGCAAAAGGCCAAGAGGAGGATCAGCATGCCCCACCTGAACGAGTAAGAGTCAGACTGTTGATAACATTTTATCTCCACCTGCTTTATCTGTTAAAATAAAACAAATTTAAACAAACAAAAAAATATCAGTACAAAAAAAACATTTAGTATTTTAATGAACAGGCACTCCTCACAACTTCACAGAGCTTTTATTTTCAGTTTGTACCACTGTCATCCAGTGTTTATGAACCTTTAACGTCTGCCCAATAATTTTCAAAACATCAAAGCCTTAGGTGATTTACTGATTTACATTTCTAACATAATTTAGGTGTAGCTCGCCATCAAGAAACAAAAAACATGCTGGCATGACCGAGACAGCTAGCATGATGTAGGTAAATGGTAAATGGACTATACTTGTATAGCGCCTTTCTGTCTTATGGAGATACTCAAAGTGCTTTACAACACAGTCTGTGCCCTCATGTACCCATTCATACAGCACTCTACTAGACCTTTACAAAGATAATTGAACAAACCAGTCTAAAGAGACTAATCAGAGATTTATCACATTCATACACTGATGGGACACGCATCAGGGGTTCAGTGTCTTGCCCAGGGACACTTCGGCATGTGACAACTGGTGGATTCGAACCCTCAGCTCTTGCATTAGAGGACGACTGCTCTAACCACTCAACCACAGCCGCCCCAAAGGTGAAGGCTAGCATCACGTATGTGACAGCTAGTGTGACGTATGCAATATTATATATATATATTTATTTATTTATTTAAATTTATTTATTTTATATTTTTAAATATATATCCAACTACACCTCAAGGACAAGGAACGCTGTGTTGAGGACCACCAGGTCCAGATGTTGGACAGAGAGGACAGATGGTTTTAAAGGGGGTTGAAGGAAGACGTTTATGTCAAACGATCACAAACAACATTAAACAGAGGAGGAGGTCTCGGATGTCAACTTTCTAAAACTTCTAACGCAGCATTAGACTGATCCCAGGTCAGCTCCAGTCCAGTTCACACCTCTGAACCAGAGCAAGAGCACAACGAGCCTCCACTGTGAGGGTGAGTAGTTCCAGTCTAACCTGCAGCTGAATCTATGAACTCAACTAGGCCTCTCATGCAGTTCTTTACATATTTCCCACACGTCTCAATCAGAAGTGCACAACGCCACTTTCCACCATTATAGTAGGCAGCACAAGACGACGGTCACGATGGCTTTCAGACAAATTATAACAAAGTATATTGATACTTTTGACCAGTCTGTAAGAGAAATATATACAGCAGTCCCTCGATACTTCGCGGTTCGATTTTACGGACTCTTTTTTTTGCAGGTTTTCAATGTAAGATTGTGCACGACTTTGCAGATTTCTCGGGGGTGTCTGGAACGTCACCCCCGCGATAAGTGAGGGACTAGTGTATCCAGAAAATTGCTGTTAGGATTGACTCGTATGAAGTAGAGAAAGGGAACGTGTCAGACGACACGGACAAGTTGCCTCCGTCATTGTGCTAACATTTTCTTCTCATTAATAAATTGTGCGTTCGTTTTGTGTGTTTTCTCTATATTTTAGTGTGTAAATGGTGTGTGTGTGCGTTTTGTCTGCAGCCAGCAACCGGTTCCAGAGAAGCTGCAGATCAGAGTGAATCGGATCAGCATGGCGGCGTACGAGGCTCTGCATTACGACAAGGACCAGCTGAAGGAGGCCTGTGAGTTAGAACCAGAACCAGGACTGTTTTCACCTTCATCATAAATCTTGGTTTCTTACATCCACTTAAACCAGTTCTGTTACTGAGTTCACATTAAACCAGATCAGAATTAAACTGGAACTTCGGCTCATGTTGACCCACTTTCAGCTGAGTTTCAGCTGCTACCCTGAGTTTGATGTTTGTGTCTGTGCAGCGGCGCCGCTCGGAGTCATTGTCGTCCCCGGGGACAGCGACCTGGAGATGTGCCGCCTTCACATCGAGCGTCTGCATGACCACCTGGACCAGGTGCAGCGCAGGCTCACGTTGACTCTGAGAACTGGTTCTGTCCGTGAGACTCGAAGCAGTTTGTCTCGATGTCTGCTCAGATTCCAAGCGGAACGATGAATTTAACGTCTCTTGTTTGTTTCTGTGCTTGACTAAATTAATCTGAACAGATTAGATTAAAATACAGTTCAGATATTTGGAACAGAACCACATGTCTGTCTGAGTTGGGTTCTTGAAAATGATCCAGTTTTCATGCTTCACCTCGTTGTGTTCCTGCAGGACGGGGACAAAATGACCCGGGACAGTCTGTCCCCCCAGAAACTGTCCATGAACTGGTGCTTCCTTGACTGTAAGTCCACACAGAACATATGTCTGCAGGCCCAACATGGATCCTGACCCGGTTCTGCCTTCTGTTCTCAGGTACCACCGCAGATCGCTTCTACAGGATCGACCGTGCTCAGGTACGACTCGGTCTGTTCGGGTCGGTCCCAGCTGATCAGAACGACCCGTTTGTTTTTCAGCCAGATGTGTTTGTATTGTTCCTTCAGGAGCACCTGAACTATGTAACAGAGATCTCTCTGGACGAGCTCTACATCCTGGACCCGGAACTGGTCGTCAAGGAGACGGTGGGAACCTCCCCCAGCATGCCAGACCTGGTGGACTCTGAGGAGCCCCAAAGACAGTTCTCCTACCCCTGCTCCCCGTCCTCTCCCCCTACTGCAGCCAGGTGAGTCACCCCGCCCTGGTCCGAGAAGGCCCGTAAAACCAGAACCAAGCAGCTGCTTAACATCAAAACATGTTTAGGATAAATAAATTATTTTCAGTCCTGCAGAGTTCTGTTTATAGAATGCCAGTCAGAACCCACAGCATGTCCAGTCAGAACCCACAGCAGGTCCAGTCAGAACCAACAACGGATCCAGTCAGAACCAACAGCAGCCTGAATTTAACTTTGAATTGTACTCAAATTAAAACAATCCTTTTCTGTTAAAATCCTCGCACTGGTAGCTCGGTGGTCAGCGCCACGGTCTTGTAATCGTGAGGTTGCAGGTTCGAGCCCAGTTTCCATTAGGAAGGGCATCCGACATAAAACAAACTGCCAAATATTTCATGAGTTTGCTCCATGTGGCAACCCCTGAAGAAGGAGCAGCTGAAAGAAACTTACTATTTTCAGCTAAAATATTGAGCAGCACTGAAAATGTAGCTAAAATTAGTTAAAGCTGTAACTGAAGTAAAAGTAGCAGAACAACAGCTAAAATTAACAAAAGCTAAAATCTAAAATTAGCATAACAAAAGCTCAAACCTGCCAAACTGTTCTTAATGAAGACGGGCGTGTCAGAAATACGTTTCCCAGAATTCATCACACATCAGACCACCAGGTGGCGCCATTCTTCCAGTCTGATTAACTTTAATCCATAATTTTTAAAGTTTTTTTTTTTTTTATATAGATCAGCTTTAAACAGTTGTTTGGCTTCAGACCGAAATATTAAAAAGCTTCAAATTGATGCTGCAGTTTTTCTCTGAAAACATCTCAGGAGTTCATTTAATCCAAAAGGGGTGGGGGATGGACTCAGATTCAGTTACCATGGAAACCTTGTTAGGGTCACTCAGTCCCTGACGGCAAGTTGGACTGATGGAAGGATAGAACTGACTGTCTGTCTGTTTGTCTCAGGGACAGTCAGAGGAGGAGGACTTCCAGTGACAGTTCAGTGTTGGAGGCTTTGAGAACGTTCAAGTCCCCCCTGCACAGGTACACACACACACACACACACACACTCATGCACAAACACATGCACACACACACTCCTATAATAATCTCTGAACTGAAGTCATGGAGCAAGTTTTTAGATCCAGAATTGTGTTACATGTACATTTGTGTCCAGAACCTCTGATCTGGTCCAGAACCCCTAATCTGGTCCAGAACCCCTGATCTGGTCCAGAACCCCTGATCTGGTCC